TTTATTTGAGTTTTCACAAAGGAATACAAATAAAACATCTTTTTTGAAAGTAGCGTAATCCCGGGTTACATTTCTTCGTACAGACACAAATTCAATTTCATGCTCATTTTTATGTTCTATTTCATATCTTATTACTATTTTACATTTTCTACATAGCTTCTCTTCTCTTTTAATTTTCTCAATTTTATTTAATTATCTCATCTCAATTCAAGTCATTATATTTATACTTTTTGTCTGTCCTGTTTCAATTTCATATTAACTTTTCTCATTAAACAAAGTTTCTCCTGTAATTGCTGATTGGAGTATGACACCTTTATATCTTTTAATTTTATCCATTTAACTCTTATTTAAGCTTCAATATATACCTTAAAGTTATAACATTCAATATAATACATAACTTTTATTTGGATTCTGCTTGGTACAATTCTTAAAATACAGACTATATTCTTAAAAAAAAGAAAAAAAGATTATAAATATATGTAGTTAAAACAACACATTCCATTCCAATTCAATTCTATCATTAATGTTAATATTAATTAAATCTTAACTTCTTTAACATTACTTTTCAATTAAATATCATACTTCTATGGGAACAGTTATAAGCTTTCCATAATTAATTTCCCCCCTTCACTTATACTATAAAACATTAACTAATTAAAATGTTTCCGTCCCTTCCTAATTCAATTCTCTCATTTATTTTATTTCATTTGTTTTGTTAACAAACATTTCACTAGGATACAATAACTATTTTATCCCTCATTTTAATCATACATTGTTTTCAATTTTCTAAAAATTATTTCTATTACTAATATAACAATACAATCTTATGTACCTTTATAGAATCCCTTTTTCAGTTAAATTTTCACCCATTATCTCTAAATAGGCCCTGTTTCTCTATATCTTGTGTCTGTCCTTTGTAACTTCTTTTCCTTTCCTTCTTCCCTCTCTTCTTCTCTCTCCCCTTTTTACCCCCTTGTCTCTCTACCTCTATTTCTCAAACCGGAATTATTCCCATTTTTTCTGATGTCCATAGAAACCCATATTTGCAGTCTCCACTGGCTCTCCTTGGACATGATAACCCAATGACTACTTCTGCTTAAAGTTAGATTAAAAACCACTTAGCATTACTGCATCTATTCTCTGGAATAAATGCATACAAGTAGGCCTGTGTTAATGATGGTAACTGGAATCAGAATTTCTATCATTAAGTGATGCAATGATGTCATGTGATCACACTGCTTAACGATTGCTGTTATTAATCTAAGTAAGGTAGGAGATTGTATCCTCTTCAATATCCCCCACACCCATCTGTCTTCCCCCACTTCTCCCCTTTTGTCTGCTCTGCCCTCTGCCATCTACTGCCGTTGGCTCTTTTGGCCTTGCCATCCTAATGGACTTTCACCATTTTCTTCCTCCCGCTGCTGCCAAGGCATGCCTCGTCTGGCCCTGCCACCCTTGTCCAAATAGCATGCAACTTTCTTGCAAGTCTTTGGAAGGTTTTGAAGCCTTGCAAGAATGCCGGATGTCTTGGGCAATGCTGCATACAGCTCTGGGAAGAAGGTTTGGCAGTCAGCAGGATCTTGTGAAGGGCCAGGCTAGGTGTGCCTGATCAGCAGCAGGAAGAAGAAAATAAAGGTCAGTGGGGAATGAGCAGAATGAGTGGGGCCCAAAGCAGCAAGGCCAGAGGAGTACAGAGAGACAGAGGCAGTGAGGTGTAAGGCAGCCAAAAGAGCAGAGATGAGGGGAGATAGGTGGGTGAGAGGAACTGAAGTACCTCTTTGGTCATAAGTACAGTTTGGTGCCCAAATTTTGACCACGTGATTGAGGAAGCACTGCAACAGCCAGAAATGGGTATAACTACCATTTATTTAGCTGCACTGTAACTCTGAATAGCTGAACAAATGATCATTAAGCAAGGATACTTGTAATTGTTTTGAACATCTGTATACCCAAGACAGTGGTTTATTAGAGCTACGGAACAAGTGTACTGAATCCAATCCCTCCAAATTGGACGCAAATTATATTCTATGGTTTTGAAACATGTGACTTTTGATGTTCTAACAGTCATGCTCATTAGAAATTAGTTTACTTTTATTCTATGGAGAAAATATATTTCCCTGGCATTTCATTTTTTGTATCTAAAGTGTGACACATATTAAAATTAAAACATGCTATTGTTTCTGTGTAACAATGAAACTGATTTTATTTGATAGCTATTTAGAATACAAATAGATTATAACTGAATCTCAGTTAATAAACAATTTATTAAGCTAATGAAATAGGAGACAGTCCATTCTTTTGTACTAACAGAAAACTGTTTTTGGCATGAGGCAGCAAAAGCATTTATTCATTGACATATTATTATTTATGCTTCTTAAAGAAGAACATTTAAAGTTAAATCTCTGAACAAGAAAATTAAAGTGCTGGCAATACTTTAGGCATGCTCTTGAGGGATACGGATCTTTAATTTCTGCTAATTATAACTCAAGAAGCTCAATGGCTCTGAAATAGAATTTTTATTGCCTTTTATCATGCAACAATATTTAGAAAAGGAAGAGAATTTCAGTAAGTTTTAGACAATTAAGCCATGTAGTTCTTTACTGCATGCACTCTAGCAAATATAAAGTTATTAGATCAACTGTTTTTAAGAAATACATTCTAAATTATGTAGTTACACATTTTTAACAGCAGATGATGACAAAGATGCTTTTCTACAACAACTGATGTTCTGTCTCAGGAACTGGGTTTGTAATTATTTTATAAAATTTAGGTAGAGTGTATTGATGATAAACAAAGCAAGCTTGGTTTATCTTTTTCAAAGATGGTCCCATGTTTTACCTTCAATGAGGGTACTATAGCTTACCAAGAATAACAAGAATCCAACCATACAGTGCAATTATATATTTTTTTCTAATTAATTGTGAATGCTACAATTTTAATAGCAACCTTACTTGTTGAATTACAGCTTGTTTTTCTGAAAAATCTGTATAAACTGGATTTATTAAGCCATTAAGCTTCTGATAATATTGATTCATAAATAAGCTACTTTAAACTCCAAATAATGAAAATCTAGCAGCCATTATTTTATTGGATATTGAGAAGCTTTTGATGGAAGACAAAAATATCAATTATATTATTATTCAAAATATACCATTTACATAATTTGAATTAAAGAGGCACTGGCATTTAATGGACCCTTTGTTCTGACCCAAACCTTGTTCCAAGGAAACAAACAAGAAATGGAGGTAACAGAAAAACCTTTTAATGATTCTTTATAAATTCCGTTCCTTCATGGTTAAAAGACTATTTCAAATTATCTTTAATAAGAACAAACCTTGCCAAGGTGGTGCAAGGCTGCCAAGAACACTAGATAAAAGTTACTAAGAAATATTTCAAACACAAAGAGTCTCCAAACACCAACTAAGATATTCCGAAAGTCCACAAGGCTTGAGTGCAAAAACTTATTTGCTTCCTGCAAAGAACTCCAGTTTCTCAGCTGGCTTTTATCTCTTGAGGGAGGGGCCATTACCTTGCAGCCTTACTCCCAAGTCGCCCGTGCTGCTGCAGCTGCTCTTTCCTTCTAGCAGCCCTGCATGCACGCACACTGGGCACAGACTCCTTGGGAACCTCTTCATCACTGCTGCCAGCCTCCACAATCTCCAAAGGCAGAATTCCACTCCCTGATGGTCCTGGCCTCATCCCTGCATCACAAGCAGGGCCCTCATCTGAGTCCTTGCTCTCCAAGACCTTAGCTGTCCGCACCTGCTGCCAGCGAACCACAACACCCTTTCTCCCATAACAATCAGTTAAATCAAGATTGAATTGTACACCTTAAATTTAACTTTATACTTTTAGACTAAGTATATAGTTGCTAAATATGCAGCAATGGATGTCTGAAATATGATCTATTTAAATTACTCTATTTTGGATAAAAAATAATTCAGTCATTTTAAAAACTGTTTTCTTTATGATGTGGTTTGCCATCTTTTCTTCTTTTCATTTTAAGGGCACGTTGTTAATAATTTTATGTATGAAGTTACTAAAATGCCCCGCAAGCTTCAAAAGTTTGGAAATATCAAGTTGTGGTTAAAAAACCAGGACATGGCTCAATTGTAGTTGCACATAATGAATAGTAGGAAACTATGTCTGTTTAGAAATAGTTTGCTTTACTTTTCAAGACTGAAAATTAACAGTACTAAAACTACCATAGGCATTTCATCTGAAGCTACCCATGTTGTATTCTGAAGATTGCAGGTGCTATAGAATGCAGTGGTTAGGCTTCCAAGTGGATGCCTGACTATTAATATCTTATTCCACTTATGAAGTAACTATTAACCCTAACCCTATTAACTACTGCTACATGTATATCATTTTGAAACAATTTGATGTAGGAAACTCTATACAAATATTTCACATATGTACAAATTGTAAGACTGTGATCTGCACCTCTTTAGGACTCTTATAAACCCTAATGAATTGTATACTTTAATTTTAGTTAATAGGTTCAATGGGACATTGAATATTACTCAAACACTAAACTGTGATGTTATATTTGAAAGTGTAACTTTCTGAAAGCTGGATTTTATAGCATATTAGGATCCTTAGTATCTTTATTATCCATAATAATCCTAATTATTATGGTCATTATTTCTGTCATTCTGGGAGAATCAAGCTTTCCAATTAGAAGAACAGGCTGAATTTATACCCACTTCTCCATTTCCCACATCTTGTCCAGCATAATGGGGACTCTCTGGAATAAATTTTGGAGCACAAACAGGGAAGACAGTGGGAGAAAATTCAAGGACAGTTCTGTTGCATATGCAGCACCCCATTAAAGAAAGTTGAATACAGTTCTATAGGGTTTCAATGTTGAATAATTTCTCTGAAATACAATTTAAAGGTAGCTATTACAAAACTGCCATAATACAACCCTGATGTTGCATCTGGCTTTAACACACCATATATCAAATGCATTCTTTAATAATGCTATTTATACTTACATTCGGCTAGTTTCAAAGTTTTCAGAGTGAGGTTCTCCTGGTGATCTGAAATGTTTAAATAAAAACTTAAGCAACTTTGTATCTAGGTAAGAAGAATGTGATATGGCTCTATATTATGTGATGTTAATGCTTTATACTAACACCTAGTTTTCATAGGAAAGATGTTTACAAATAAGGATGCCTACAGCCAGGAGAAGCATAAATACAAGCTCTGGTCATGTTGCTTACAATTAACCACTTTAAATATTGTTTTATAAGGCAAATAAAACTTGTAAAATGAAACCTCTAAGTATGGAGATTAAATTTCAGAATATATCAATTTTCCTCTTCTCAACTGCAAAGCTTCAGATCCATGAAGGTTAGTTGATTATACAAATATTATGACATTATTTGAGGCAAAGTTCAGCTGAACTGTTTATTTGAATAGGTACTACAGCTGAAGCAATGAAACTTGTTACTAAGGAATATACAAAATGTTTCCAACGTGAGACAGCTGTTTCAAGTGCAAATCAAGATAAAAACAGCCCATTTCACATGTAAGGTGTTTCACATTTAAAATATTTTGTTTATTGCTACTGTTATCTATTTGGATTCCTCTTTTTGCTTTGCCTTTAAGGTTTTAAGGGGCTAGAACTAGAAATGACATATTCTTTAGCAAGGAGAATCATATTAAATAACTTTTTAAGAAATAACAGAAAGCTCATTATGAATATACTTTTGCCTACAGTTTTATGCAATGGTAGATAGCTCCAGCTTGTCAAAATTATTGTGTATCACATGGTGAAAACTGTTAATATCTATATAATGGAAACACGGATCTATTTGAGCAACTGTAGTAAAACTTTAAAGAGTTTGTTAAATCTAACACTAAAATGAGAAAGAAAAGTCATCCAGAAGCATTCTGAACAGAATAAAACATGTTGAGATTTCTGAAATAATATGATGATGTATGTATGTGACTGGTATATTTTTGGATAAAATGAGCTCCAAACTTTGAACAATTTGATTTGATGTTTAAAATTAATTTTTAATAGTTATAAAAACTAACCTTTCATTCTCATTGATCTGGTTAGTGTCTCCTAAATAACAATTTCGGTCCAGCTGTAAACAACAAACAATGGTTTGCCATAAACCACGGCTCAATTTCAATGCTGAAGGGAAGATGAAATATATAACCCTTGAGGTCCTTCCTAGATAATTCACTAGACATTAAATGTGACTTTGGGTGATGTTTGAGTCAATGACTTAGAATACCAATATGTTATTTTATTGGACATTTCAAATTTAAAATGGGATAGATTTGGATGACCTATAAAATTAATAAATAAACCTTAATTTCCAGATTTTTAAACAGTACCAGCAGATTTTTATTTAAATATACAGTCTTCCAAACTCAAGTTTGGAATATATGTGTACTCCATGATTTATTGGCCAGATTGTTCCCTTTCTCCTGCTTTAACACTTAGTCTGATGAAGAATACTGGCGAACACAAAAGTTTAGCAACTATTTTGTGCTATTTATGTTGGCCTAATAAGGGTATTGTTCTATGGTGCACTTTAAAAAAAAAAACATGACATTTTATTTTTATATCCTAAATGCTTATTTTCACAGAGCATCAAATATTCCCTTGATTCAAAGATGTATTTATTTTTCTTGTTAGTCCGTAAATATTAATTGAGATGAAATATAATTTCCATGTTACAAGTGTTTTGATTTGTTTGTCTTTTAAATTTTTCAGAAACACAGCTGACCTGGTTTTTATCATCAAAAAGTATAAAATCATTGATTTTATAAAAACTGTTTAAATTAATGCTGTTCAGCTTCAATGCAGGAACATTAGGGCATTTGTATGAAAGCTTTGAAATCCTAAAAAAATCATTATATTAAGTAATCCAGAAAGAACTATAGAACTACAGAGTAAGCAAATGTTCAGCATAAAGCACTTGCAAACCTTTTAGTTGTTATGTATTTAATATAATTTTATCACAAATGCTTTAAATTTTTAGCCCTGAATTATACTGCAGAAAATGTGATCACAACACACACCCACTAATCTGAACACTGCAGCATGAACTAGCAATTTCAAATGGTGGCTCACTTCCAAAAACCCTCGGAGCAACTTCTCCATTCTGCAAGCCACTCCTTTTACCTCCACTGTAACTCCCTAGGAAAGAAAAAGCAAAGGTATGCAAGTTTGCTGCATTTAGCAAGATTACCAAGTTTCCTAATAAAACAAAATTTTAAAGCAAAAGATAAAATTTGTTTGTATACTATTGTTATATGAAGGATTTTTCTCTTTAAAAAAAAGTTCAAACAGATTTAGACAGTGGTGGGTTCCACCAACTATATGGTGGACCAAGGTAAGTATCTTCCAATGATAATTCTGAAATGATAATATTTTAAATATTATCACGAACATTCAACATACAAAAAGAGATTGTCATCACCAATTTACTTGCCTTGATAGTGTCCTCCTAAAATTTAATAATTAAATAGTTATGAACGCAGTTGATTTATATTTAAAATTTTTGTTTTATAGAAGTTTTGCTTTATCTTGATAGTTACCTTTTACAAGCTGTGGCCATTCGGTGACATTGGGGTGATCACAATTTTGTGTCGTTGATTAAAAAATATGTTCTTGCCAGTCCTCTTGTGCTGAGCCAAGCATAGGCTTAACAGTGCTAAATAAATAAATTATGGCAATTAGTTTATATATTCTGTATCCATTTTTGCCAATAGTTTTTAAGAGCTATTTTGACTTCTATAATCAACTCTGAAATTGTTCAAGAATATTCATATCAGGTCAGTGAAAGCCATTCCTGACAGAAGTCATTTTAAAAACATGATTAGTTCAACATTTCTTATCTGCAAAATTCTATAAAGATCTAAAGCCTGTTCCTGTTGGTACACAAATACATACAAGAGACCTAGTTGTTGATATGATCCAGTAATGCCATCTAAAGCATTTGTAAGTTGATACTATATAAAGAGGTCAAATACATGACAATCAACTTTTGCTTTCCCTGAAAGCTTTTCCTGCATAATCCCATTTGTACAGCAGTATAACTGCTGAAATCAGTTTGCTTCCAGTTTGTACCAAAGATTAAGAATGTGAATTTAATCATCAATTGATTTGTGATTTTCTGGCTAGAGATGAACATTTTCCTTGACTGTGCAATAAAGCCTAAAGAGGCTAGCCTTCAATTATCCTTCATGTTCTATAAAACAGAATAGTATTCAGAACAAAAGGGGAAGGATTAAGAGAGTCTGCCTATCAACATCTGAATAGTAAACTCAAATGACTCTGCAAAAAATTCTGGACACACTCTAAAACCCAGAACCTTCTTCAAGGTAATAACTGGTTTAGCTAAGATGACTGAACTGATTCCATGTGGAAATCACTGAATTCTCTTGTTCTTTCTTTATTTTTCTTTGCAAGAAATTCCTCCTTTCAGCTAGATAATGAGCTTCATTGGTTTAATAAGATTTTTTCTAATAAAATTAAAGCCTTCCTTATGAAAAAGAATAATAGTTAAAAAGCTGTCTTTTGAGTTTCAGGATAGGCACTTTCTTAAGTTTTATATGTTTTGGCTTTGGGCAGGTGGATCAAAAAACATCTTTTTATTTTGTTAGAAATGAACAATTTGGGCACTGGCAACTGGCTTGCAATTATGATTGCAGCATCCTGTGGTTTGCCATTTGCAACCTTTACTTCTGGTTTTCCACAAACGAAGTCAATCAGGAAGCTAGCAGAAAGTTGCAAATAATGACCATATGACATCACACCTAATGACCAAGTAGGATTTGCTTAATGACAGCAACCAGAACTAGTTGCAACTACTATTGAATGTCACATGACATTGTGCGTTAATGAGTGACAGTGTTATTGGCCCTAATGACATGTTACGCAAGGAATATCTGTATAGGCCAACTTAGAAATGTAACAGAGCACAAGATGGTTTTTCATGCCTACAATGGAATATTTTTTGGTCTCAAAATCACTATAGGTGAGTGAAAGATGGATGTTGATGAGTAAAATCAGAGTGGCTGAAAATATTTATTTGCAAAGGCTCTGTTTTCAATATTTATCCTAAGCTCAATAGATGAATAAATTATAAATTACACATATATTTTCAAATTTTGATCATTTGTGAATATTCCATCAACCCAACTGGTATGATTAAAGATTACAGATGATGATAGTAGTTGTAGTCAGGCCTCTAGAGGTCATCTGCCTTGGATTTAGAATCAGTTTTTCTAATAACATCAGACAGAGCTTGAAGCCCACTTATGGGAATGGCATGAATTTACTATCCTTTTTCAGATTTGTCTTTTAAAATATTGAATTGATTTACATGGCAACCCATCTCATAAATGTGAGCTGGCTAACAAGGATTAAATATTATGAGTGCATTAGCAGATAAAATGCTAGCCCACTAGTCAGAATGACATTGTCAATGGACTGCATCCCCACTGATATTAAAAGTTAAATTCAAGGAATATACAGAAAATTAGGTACATAATAAAAATCATAAGAATATGAATTCAGTGACTGCATACTTGGCAATATGTAGTTCAATGCAACTTGCTGAGTCTTCATTCAAAAGATATGCAGCATTCTTTTTACCCTACGGTAAGGTTTGAGAACCATCGTTTTATATTCTATTACTTACAAAAAATATTAAAAGAGGGCAATACAGTTTGATATGCTTTGAGTCTTCCCACATATTTGCAGTAGATATTTAGTTTCAAGCTTACTTGTCAATTGTTTCCTGCAGTTTGGCTTCACTGATATAAAACGTAAGGCTGATCTTCTACTCTGTCATGTCGCTATCAGCCAGTGATTATTCAGCAATACTCGTACCCACAGTACCCTGAGGCCTCCCATTGGCTTTCTTCTCTCCAACTGAAGACATCCATTGCTGAAACAGAACCAGATGATGTCTTATACGTTTCTATTACCTTACCTTATTGCTTTTAATATACAATTCCTAATTGTTGGTTTTAAATTGTTTTAACAATTTAAAACATTTTGTAAGTTAAATATACTATAAGCTATAAACTAGTTATAAAGTGGGATTATCAAAAAGCAGAGATAAAAAAATTGTAAAATATCGGATCTAAACCGTCCCGAAGAGACGGTGAAAGTGAAGAGCGCATCCTGTTGATCCCAGGGATACCGCAAAGTCCCTGGTAGATCCAGGAGAAGCTCTTCTTGCCAGCGGCAAAGAGGCAGCCATTAAAACTGCTGAAGTTGGGACAGCTCCGAAACGGAAGAGAGCAGAGAGACTGTGCCGGTTTGGTGAGAACTTTTTTTTTTTTTAAATTCTAAGATCTGAAAGGACACCCTAAGGAAAAGAACGAATCTGTAAAAGTTTTTGACAGAAGTGATTAAGCGGCGATTTTAAACAGGAATGTCAAAGTAATGTTTGTTTTTTCTCATTGCTGGATCTTCTAAAATCTTGTACTTTGAAACTGGACTGGGTTTTTCGTTTATATCTATTTTTTTCTTCTCCTTTTTGATTTTGTAATATTATAGGCTAGAGGCTCCCTTTAGTTATTTCATTTTTAAAAAAATATCTTTTTCTTTTTTTATTAATTCTTATTATATATTGCTCGGAAAAGGAGGGGGAAAGTGAGAGCAAAGAAACTTTGTAATACTGCCAACTAGAGGCTTGAAAATATTCTATTTCCCTGTGACCAGACAAAGCTGAGAAAGAAAGAACTGAGACTCTTTTTCAAGGACATTGCTATTTGATAAGATAGAGGGAAGAGCATGGGAGAGTTTTATTGCAGGTGCTCTTCTGGGATTCTATCAACAGCTGGAGTCTGGTGTTGAAATGTAGGGGGAAAAAGGTGATAAGTTTTTGAAGAAGAGAGTTATAATAAGAGCCTTGGATAATTAAACAAAGTGCAGTGTGCCCTTTTTACTTTTCCTAAGTTGTGCTATCCCTCCTCACCAGCTTTATTGTATTTTTTTAATCTTTTTTTTTTGTAATAACTATTTGGGTTTTTGGCTTTGTTGGAGCTTGTCTTTTTTTTTTGGGGGGGGGGGGGGGGGAGTCCAATCTCTATGTTTGCTTTTTATTTTAAAGGGAAAGCCTTAAAAGCCTTTTTTTCCCCTGGTATTTTTGTTTTTTCATCTACCTTTCTGGTTTATTCTTATGCATTTTTTTCTATCTGAGACCTTTCAATTGGATTAAGGTGTTGAAGAACCTGAAGAATTTTTCCTTTTCCTTTTTTTCTTTCTTAAGTCTTTTTCTTTATCTAACTATTGATTGGATTAAGGTATACAAGAAACTGAAGACATTTTGTCCTCCCTTTTTATTATTATTATTGGGCTTCTTTTTTCTACTATTTTTATTTTGAACTATAATTGGTTACTTCACAATTGGATTATGGTTTAGAAGAACCTGAAGATATTGAATTGCTTAAAATGAGTAGGAAATTTACAGCTCCTGGTTCTTCAACTTCTACATCTTCCTCTCCACCATCTGGAGGACAATGTTCAATACAGACAATTTTAAAGCAAGAAAAAGAACAAGAAAAAGTGACTCTGCAGATGATTATGCAAGGAATTCAAAATATTCAAGCAAGATCAGAGAATATTGAAAAGAGAATAGAGAACATTAAACAAAGAACAGAGAACATTGAACAAAGAACATAGAATATTGAGCAAAGAACAGAGAACATTGCACAAAGAACAGGGAAAACCGATGAAAAAGTGGAGAACATCCAACAAATGATGTTGAAGTATGATGAGAGATTCCAAAAGATTGAAGAAGATAAACAAAGAGACAAGAAGATTAGAGATATTGATAATAGATTAACGGTGGTTGAACAAGATAAAAGTGGTATGTTGAGATGGGAGATGGATAGATCAGAATTCTATCTTAGATTCCAAAATGTAGAGGAAGAAAAAGGACAAAACCTCGTTGAGATAATGATAGAAATACTGGCTGAAGCTTTGGAAATAACTCAAGAGAAGATGATGGATGGAATAGATGAGGTTTATCGAGTTTTCACAAGATATGCGATGAGAAATAGCTTACCAAGAGAAGTTCACATTAGATTTACAAAGCCATTAAAACGCAAATATTGCAAGTGGCAAAAGAGAAAACATTGAAATATAAAGAAAAGGAGATTGTGGTCATAAAACAAATACCCAGAAGAGTGAGAGAGATGAGAAGAGAATACCGATTCCTGACTAAAATGCTACTTAAAAAAGAGGTGAATTATAGATGGCTGATTCCAGAAGGTTTAATGTTCACATGGCAAGAACAGAGACATAGAATTGACTCAATTGAGAAAGCGGAATTATTTTATAAAGAATTTTTGGGAAGGAAAGTGGTGGAAGAGGCAGAAAAAGAGATCTCACTAATTGAATTCCAAGAGGACTGCCAAATTGCGACTGAAAAAGAAGGTGCAGTAGGTGGAAAGGTGGAAGCCAAAGAACAACATGAACTAAGATCTACGAGAGCTGCTAAACCTAACTATAAAATATAACCATGGAAGAGAAAAAATTGATTACAATTAATATAAATGGATTTAATTCAGCCATTGAAAGAAGGAAAACCTTTCATAAATTAGAGAAATTAAAATTTGATATAATTTGTCTACAAGAAGTACATATTAAAAAACAATATGAACAATTGTTGGAACAGCCAAAATTAGGGAAAATATTTACTTCCTTGACCCAGTGTAAGAAAAGAGGAGTGGTTTTATATATTAAAGAGACCACCTCAGCAAAATTGATCTATACCGATGATGATGGAAGAATACTAATGGTGGAAATAATGGACAATAATATGAAAACACTGATTGCAATTTATGCTCCGAATGACAAAGAAGAATTCTACAAAAAATTACATATGAAAATAATTGAATTGGACTATGCTAATATAGTTATGATGGGAGATTTTAATGGAATTGTAGACAATAAATTGGACTATACAGCACAGAAAACAATAAACCAAAACAGAAAGACTCTCCCTAAATCTTTTTTTAAAATGGTAGATGAAATAAACTTAAAAGATACATGGAGAGAAAGAAATGCTAAAACTAAACAATACACCTTCTATTCACCTTCTATATCATGGTCCAGAATAGATATGATATGGATGTCAACAGAATTAATATCTAACACTCAAGAAATAAATATTGAAACAAGTACTTGGGCAGATCACAATCCAATGACAATTAAATGGAAAGGACAAAAAAGAAGATCTAGATGGATGTTAAATAATACTATTTTAAAGGAAAAAGACTTCACACAGTGGATGGAGAAAGAATTGGCTTTTTTTTTTTAGAGAAAACAAAAAAGAAGATACATCAATTCAGAATGTATGGGATACAATGAAGGCATATGTTAGAGGCTTGATAATAGACTATACAAGGAAAAGGAATACTATGAAAAGGCTAGCCTCTAAGGGCCTAGAGGACGAGCATAGAAGACTTGAAAAAGAGCTACAGAAAATGCCACAGAAAAAGGACATCAAGCTAAAAATAGATATAATTAAACACAAAATGGGTCAAATAGAAAAAGAAGAATTAGCACAGAAAATTAGAGGTGCTAAACAGAACTACTTTGAAGACGCAAACAAACCAGGTAGATGGTTAGCATATAAATTGAGAAAGGAGAAAGAATCAAGGAAAATATTGCAATTAATAGATGACCAAGGCCAAATTTGCCATGGTAGCAAAGAGAAGAAGGAAATCATTTGAGACTTCTGTGGGAAATTATATATGCAAGAGAATATTGATGAGGAAAGAGTTAAGCAGTATTTACAGAATGCTAATTTACCTCAGATACCTAAAGACACTGAAAAAATGTTAGAAAGCAATATAACGATGATGGAGTTAACTGAAGCACTCAAGAAGCAAAATAATGGAAAGGCACCAGGCCCAGATGGACTTCCGGCAGAATTTTATAAAACATTACAAGAATCGTTGAATCTTCCATTGCTAGAAGTTATGAATGAAGTTATGTTAAAGAAGAAGATACCTAAATCATGATCAGAAGCCTATATTACGCTTATTCCAAAAGAGGAGGCCGACTCATCACAAATTAAGAACTATAGACCCATTTCTCTACTAAACGCAGATTATAAAATCTTTGCTTCAATATTGGCAGAAAGACTTAAAAAATATTTAAATAATTTTATCCATCCTAATCAAAATGGATTTCTGCCAAAGAGACAAATTAAAGACAATATGAGAGTAATCTTGGACACCTTGGAATACTATGAGGCACATCCTGAAAAACAAATGGCTCTTATATTTCTCCTGAAAATGCACAGAAGGCATTTGATAATGTGAATTGGCGTTTCATGTTATTACTGTTGGAACAGATGGGTTTTGCTAGAAAATTTATTCAAGCAATAGAAGCTATATACTATAAGCAAACGGCAAAGGTAATGATAGAGGGAGAACTGACAGACTCTATTAATATAAGAAAAGAAACAAGACAAAGGTGCCCACTATCACCTTTGTTGTTTGTATTAACTTTGGAAGTGTTAAACAGAAATATTAAAGATGAAAAGAATATAAAAGGAATGAAAATCAAAAAGGAAGAATTTAAGTTGCAAGAATTTGCGGATGATCTGGTTTTCATCTTAGAAGACCCTTTAGAAACAGCATCAAAATTGATAGAAAAGATAGAGACATATGGAAAGGTGGCTGGTTTGAAAATAAATAAAGATAAGACAAAGATTTTGACAAAGAATATGCTATTAAGACAAAAGGAAGAACTGGCAGACCTACTGAAAATTCAGGTCACGAATAAGATCAAGTACTTGGGGATATATTTGACAGCAAGATGTAGTACATTAAAAGAGAATAATTATA